TGGGCGTGCTGGAACACTGGTAGGTTAGAGCTGGGTGACTGGGAAGCAGGGCCTGTGAGCTGAGCATAAATGCAGATGGCAGGTGGTGAGGAGAGGATGGACATTTCCAGGCCAGCCACTCAGCTGTCTGGGTTCCAGACCTGGGGCACCCTTGGGCTCCACTGTCCCAGAATCTGAGCCTGGGGTACCAGGGCCTCGAGGGCATGCTCCGGCCATGGACAAGATTCCAGGGCAGTTCCAATATAATTGTGGTCTCTTGAGTCTCTTCCAGGCTGGAGTGCAGTGCTGCAATCATAGCTCACAGTAGCCTGAAATTTCTGGGCTCAAGCAACCCTTCTGCTTCAGCCTCCTAAGTAGATGAGAAGACAGGTGTGCATCACCACACCCAGCCTTTTATTTTTAATTTTTATTATTATTTTATTTTATTTGGTTGGGATGGAGTCCCTCACTGTCACCCAGGCTGGAGGGCAGTGGCCTCATCTTGGCTCTGCAACCTCCCGCTCCTGGGTTCAAGCGATTCTCCTGCCTCAGCCTCTGGAGTAGCTGGGATTACAGGCACCTGCCACCATGCCTGGCTAATTTTTGTACTTTTAGTTGCGATGGAGTTCCACCATGTTAGCCATGCTGGTCTTGAACTCCTGACCTCTGGTGATCTGCCCATCTTAGCCTCCCAAAGTGCTGGGATTACAGGGGTGAGTCACCATGCCTGGCCTGTTTTTTAAGTAGATGAGATCTTGGTATGTTGCCCCAGGCTGGTCTCAAACTCCCAGGCTCAAGTGATCTTCCCACTTCAGCCTCCCAAAGTGCTGGGATTGTTACAGAAACACCAGGGGTTTGGTCTAGGTCCTGTTGTTCACCACACAGACAGCCAATCACGGAGACAAGGATTCTTCCCAAGCAAGAAGGCTTTAGGTGCTGTGTGTGTGTGTGTGTGTGTGTGTGTGTTTGAGATGGAGTCTTGCTCTTGTTGCCCAGGCTAGAGTGCAATGGCATGATCTCAGCTCACTGCAACCTCTATCTCCTGAGTTCAAACTATTCTGCCTCAGCCTCCCTAGTAGCTGGGATTACAGGCATATGCTACCACGCCTGGCTTATTTTTGTTTTGTTTTGGTATTGTTTTTTAGTAGAGATGGTGTTTCACCATGTTGGTCAGGCTGGTTTCGAAATCCTGACCTCAGGCGATTCACCTGCCTCAGCCTCCCAAAGTGCTGGGATTACAGGGGTCAGTCACTGCACCTGGCCATGAAGTCTGTCATTCTGTCTCTGTTGCTCTTCAATCGGTCCAGAGTCTCCACCTCATTGCCATTAAGTTTGATTAGAATCTGTCTGCATCTTCCAGACTAGCAGTTAACCTGGCTCATCAAGCAGTTAGACCTCTAGGTAAGTATCTCACTGCTGTCCCACCTGGGAGTCTATCTCAGCAGGCTCTGCCCTGTGGCATGATGGTGCAATGGTTAGCACCCAGTGTCAACTTGACCAGATGGAGGGAAGCCTAGATGGCTGGTAAAGCATTGTTTCTGGGTGTCTGTGAGGGTGTTGCCAGAGGAGGTTGATATTTAAGTCAGTGGACTGGGAGAGGAAGACCCACTCTCAATGTGAGTGGGCACCATCCCAGGACAGAAACATCAACCGTGAGGGTTGGAATTTGCAGCCACTTGGTCTCTGGGGAGAGGAGGGGTCCTGGAGATGGTTCAATCACAAGGTCAATGATTCAGTCAATCCTGCCCATGTAATGAGACCCCAGCCAAAACTCCTGAGGCTGGGCGAGGTGGCTCATGCCTTTAACCCAAGCACTTTGGGAGGCCAAGGTGGGAGGACTTCTTGAGCTCAGGAGCTCAATGCCAATCTGTACAATCTGGTGAAACCCTGTCTCTACAAAAAAATACAAAAAATAGCTGGGCAGGGTGGCATGTGCCTGTTGTTCCAGCTACTTGAGAGGCTGAGGGGTGGCAGGATCACTTGAGCCCAGGAGGTTGAGGCTGCAGTGAGCTATGATCATGCTACTGCACTCTGGCCTGAGCAATAGAGAAAGACCTGGTCTCAAAAAAAGAAAACAAAAAACCTGAAACACCGAAGCAGTAATTGGATCAATCCTGCCTACATACTGAAACTCCAATAAAAACTCAGGATACCAAGCTCAGTGGAGCTTCCTGGCTGGTGAAGGGGGAAGGCATAGAGATTGATGTGTACTGATGTTATGGGCAAGGACACAGGAGCTCTGTGTTTGGGTTTGGGACCTTCCCAGACCTCGCCCTGTGAACCTCCTCATTTGGCAGGTCCTGATCTGTATCCTTTTAAGAAAACTGAAATCCTAAGTACAGCATTTTCCTAAGTTCTGGGAGTCATTCTAGTGAATTATGGAAGCTGAAAGGGTCAGGAGAATTTGTAGGCAGTTGATCAGAAGTGTGGATGGCTGGGGATCTCCAAACTTGTAGCTGGTATCTGAAATGAGAATAGTCTTGATGGGGACTGGGTCCTTAACCTGTGGGTGGAGTCTGCACTATCTGGGTGAATAGTGGCAGAATTGCATTTAGAATTATAGGAGGCTGGGAGCAGTGGCTCATGCCTGTAATCCCAGCACTTCAGGAGGCCAAGGTAGGCAGATTACTTGAGCTCAGGACTTTGAGACCAGTATAGTGAGACCACTTCTCTACAAAAAGTAAAAAAATTAGCCAGGCATGGTGGCACATGCCTGTAGTCCCAACTACTTGGGAGGCTGAGGCAGGAGGATTGCTTAAGCCCAGAGGATTTCTTGAACCTGGAAGGTCAAGGCTGCTGTGAGCTGTGTTCATGGTACTGCACTCCAGCCCAGGTGACAAAGTGAGATCCTGCCTCAAAAAAAAAAAAAAAAAAAAGAAAGAAAAAAAGAACCACAGGAGATCATTCAGCCTGGGCAGCATAGTGAGACCGAATCTCTACAAAATAATCTAACAAATTAGCTGGGTGTGGTGGTGGGTGCCTATAGTCCTAGCTACTGGGGAGGCTAGGTGGGAGGATTTCCTGAACCCAGGAGGTCGAGGCTGCAGTGAGCTATGATTGTGCCACTGCACTCCAGCCTAGGTGACAGAGCAAGACCTTGTCTCCAAAAAAAAAAAAAAAAAAAAAAGGTGGTTGTGAGGGGGATGCAGAGAGAGATTTGACACAGAAGTCATTGCCATGGCTGAAGCTAAATGCTACTGCCTTTGAAGATGGAAGAAGAGTCCAGGAGTCAAGAAACATGAGGACAACAGCTCTAGAAGCTGAAAAAGGCAAAGAAACATTTTCCCTTTGATAGGTTTGGCCGTGCCCCTACCCAAATCTCACCTTGAATTGTAATAGCCTCCATGTCTCAAGGGTGGGGCCAGGTGGAGATAATTGAATTATGTGGGTGGTTTCCCCTATACTATTCTCGTGGTAGTGTATACGTCTCTTGAGATCTGATGGTTTTACAAATGTGAGTTCCCCTGCACAAGTTCTCTTACCTGCCGCCATGTAAGACGTGCCTTTGGTCTTCCTTTGCTTTCCGCCATGATCGTGAGGCCTCCCCAGCCATGTGGAACTGTGAGTCTATTAAACCTCTTTCCTTTTTAACTTACCCAGTCTCAGGTATATCTTTGTTCGAAGCATGAGAACGGACTAATACATCCTTAGACCTTGGTTTTCTGTCAGTGAAATCCATTATGGTAGTGGTGGGAAACTCAAACCCTCCTCCAAGCCAACCATGTCTGGAAGTCCAGCAGCCTTGCACTCAGTCCAGTAGGTAAGTCAATGAGCTCCTGGACGTGCCCAGTGCCTGCTCTAGACTGCAGGTGTAGAAGGATCAGAGGACTGGGGGTTTGACAGGTAACAGCGATGAAGATTTCCACCTGGCTGCGGAATGTGATGGTGTTCCTTCTATTTCCAGCTCAGCTGATGCTGTTATATAGTCTGGCAGCCCTGGGGGCTCCCAGAAGTGTGTCGTTCTAGACTCAGTTCTGCACAGAACTAAAAGCTGCCGACCTGTCACTCCCCTGTTGAACCTGTCTTCATAGGAAATTCTTGGAGAGCCCCTAACTCTCCCTGATGGAAGCAAGTAACTGGGAATATAGGGTGAATTCAGATCAAAAGTCCCTGGTTGAGAAAGCCAGGTTCTATGTAACATATACCCCTGTGTGAATTCAGGCATCGGTATACCTTTCAACCTCTGAACCTTGCTTTTTTTTTTGCTTTTTTTTTCTTTTTTTTGAGACATGGTCTCATTGCATTGCCCAGAATGGAGTACAGTGATTCTATAAACAGGCATGATCATTGCCCACTGCATTCTCAAACTCCTAGTCTTAAGCGATTCTCCCACCTCCGCCTCCTGAGTAGCTGGGACTGCAAGCATGCACCACTATGCCCACTCTCTCAGTCTTTCTCTTCCTGGGCCTTCTGCCTCCAAAGTCCTACCTTCTCAGCTTCATCTACTCAAATTCCATTATCCCTTGGAAAATCCACCGCCTTCTCTGGAATGTATTTCCTGACCGATCCATCCAATGATCACAGACCCTAGATGCATGGAGGAGAAGGGACCTGTCCCCCACCTGCCTCAAGGGCTTGTCTCAGGATGCCCATAATCTCCAAGATGGGGTGACAGTCTTCTCAAGGACTGGTGCCACCACTGCAGTATCTCAGGACAGTTGATCTCCCCAGGGACAAAGGTGGTCCCTCTTAATGTATCGGGTGTCCTCGCCATGCTTTCCTCCATTAAATTACTGGTCACTTGGTTCCTGTGCCCAGCTAGACCAGAATACAGAGGTCCCAGGGGAAATAACTGCCTCTGACCCATTTCTGTGTCCCCAGCACCCTCTGAGCCACGCCCCATGCCAGGGACTGAAGAAATAATGGTGTAGCGTGGGAAACTGCCCTATCTTCAAGCCCTCCTGACCCAGTGCAAATTACCCACCAAAGGCCAAGAGGTCACTGAGAGAGGTCAGGGGTCCCTTGTAGGGATTAAACTAGGACACCTGGGATAAAGCATAGATCTCGCCAGAGCCAGGAACCTGGATTAATTTCTCAGATATTTATTGATGCTTCCTCAGGCTGCAGAAACAGCTCCCAGTTTGGCGGACAATGCGAGAAAACCGGACAGCTCCAGCCCTCAGTCACCTAACCTTGGCTAGGAAGAGAAGTGAAGTCACATCACTGGGACCCAGGAGCAGGGATTTTGGAGCTAATGGAGGTTAGGTTGGGTCTGCGTGTGTGGAGTTGGGACGAGGTTGTCACGGAGCCCAGGCACTGGACTGGACAGGGCTCTGTTGGGCCGCGTGGTTCTTGGACTCAGTACTGGCGAACGAGGAAGGAAGAAACTCTTTGGCAACTAGCTCCAGGAGCCAGCGAGGTGAGCAGCCCCCGGGATACCACGTGCTGCAATGCCCGTGGCTCCGGGTCACTGGGCGGAGTCAGCAGCTGCGCCTTTTCTCACAGATCCAGCTGTCCTTCTCGCTGTCACACGGTGCGTCGTTCCACAGCCCCGTGCGCAGCATCATGACACAGTCCTCGCGTCCTCGAGAGTCATTGGGCTCTCCCCGGTTCCAGTGGCTGCAGTGGTTGAGTGGCGGTGTTGCTGGGAAACTAGACTGAGGATGAACGCAGGGTCCCCCCTTCCTCTCCAGGCTCTAGCCTGTTTACTGCTTGGGTCTACTCTAGACACCCCAACTGTCTAAACTGAGTATACACCTGGGATATAACTTTTTTTTTGAGATGGTGCCTTGCTCTGTCACCCAGGCTGGAGTGCAGTCACGGCTCACTGCAACCTCCGCCTCCCGGGTTCAAGCGATTCTTCTGCCTCAGCCTCCCGAGTAGCTGGGATTACAGGAATACACCACCACACCCAGCTAATTTTTGTATTTTTAGTAGAGACGGGGTTCACCATGCTGGTCAGGCTGGGCTCAAACTCCTGACCTCAGGTTATCCACCCGCCTGAGTCTCTCACAGTGCTGGGATTACAAGCGTGAGCCACCGCGCTTGGCCGATAACTTTTTAACGCCCAGAATTTAACCTGAGGACATTCCTGGAATCCAGCCTGCTTATCCCTAAGCATGGAGCCCCAGCCAAGGGGTCCCTGAAATCTGGCCAAAGCATGTCCTCTAGAATCTAACCTCTCCCTCCCCAGGTCTTATCAGGAGCCCTTCCCTCACCTGAAGGTGAGTGAGACTCCGTCTACCCACTGGTAGCCCTGAACCTTGCCCAGCTGGCGCACAGCTCTCAGGCCCAGCCAGTAACCACGGCCACGCGTGTTCCGAGTCAGGAAGCCCTAGAAAGGAGGGGATATCTGAGCCTGTGGAGTCCGCCCCGCCCCGCCCCACCCCGCCACCTGGCCACGCCCTCTCCGCCTGCGCACCTGCTCATCCAGGTCCCCAACGATCACCAGGTGCGCGCTGGCATCGGCGCAGTGACTCTGCGCCGCCGCCCAGGTGGTCTTTGGCACAGAGAAAAAGTAGCAGGACCCCTCGAAGGGCAGCCACCACTGGGGGCACGGCTCGCAGGAGCCTGCGAGGTGGCGAGGGTCACAGAGGTCGAGGGCATCCAGGAGGAGCACACCGAGACGATGCAGGGGGGTAGGGGTTCTGTTCCGTGGGCTCAGGGGTGGAGGCCCAGAACCAGGTCCAAGAGGGGCAGGGTCCACTTACACCCCACAGCCCGCCCCGCCCCCACCACTCCCGTCTCGCTCACTGTTCTGGAACCTCACGGCCTCCAGCGCCCGGAACAGCTCAGTGCGGACGTTCTCGCGGTCCCTGCCGGCTTCGGCCAAGCCCTGGGTCACTACGGGATGAAGGGAGCGGGGATTATGGCTGGGGTCAGGACCAGGAGCAGGGTCATGACTAGCTAACAATCAGAACCCCGTCCGTGGTCATGGTACCCTCAGTGCCAGCGTCCAGGATGGCACAGGGTCAAGGGCGGTTACAACTGGGCAGGGTCTGGCACCAGGAGTCGCGGTCAAGGTCAGAGTCCAGCGTCAGGGCCAGGACGCGGTGCATAATCGGGGTGGGGGATCGGCACTCAGGGCGGGGTCGGGGTCGGACGGTCGCTGGGCGCGGCCAGGGCTCAGGGCTGGGGTCGCGTCCGGCCCTCACCGCGCTCACGCAGTTCCCGCAGGGCGCTCTCCTGCTCCATCAGCTTCGCCTGCGCCTCCCCAAGCTCCGCGCGCGTGGTCTGCAGCTTCGCCTGTGTCCCCGAGCCTGGGACCCGCGTGGAGAGAGGGGCCAGGGCGGCGAGGATGTGGCGGGACTTTGGAGACCACCCCGCCCCGCCCCACCCGCCGCAGGCCCCGTCCCCAGTCCCCCTCCCATCCCGGTCACAAGCCTCCGCCTCTGCGCCCACAGCCTCGGCCGCGCCCCCTCACAGCAGCTGTGGCAGGCTCCGACCTCCTCCTTCAGGGCACTCAGCGCCGTCGTCTGCTTGGAGGCTGGAAGGATTCCCGCCCCAAAACGCACGCCCGCCGCGTCACTTGGGAGGACTCTGGCGACCCGCTTCCCCACCCCGACCCGCTTCCCCACCTCGGGCGCGTGGGGGCCAGCCTCAGGGACCATAGGCCCCCACGCGCCCGAGACTCCATCTCCGGGGTCTCAGGCCCTCCCACCTCGCACACCCTGGGGGCCCAGGCATCCCGCTCTGCACACACCGTTTGTCCTCAGCAGGTCCTGGCCGCCGAGCAGCGCTGAGCGCTCCGTGGAGGCTGCGGAGAGAGGCTCCTGCAGGCGAGGCCAGGGACTCGGGAATCCTCCCCTCGCCTGGGAGATGCGTGGTCCCCCGACGCTGCGGTCCCCCAGGCATACAGTGCACACGATGTGCACACACGCCGTTGGAATTAAACGCGCGGCGACTTGCACACATATGCACGCCATGTGCACACGCGTGAGTGCACACGGTCCGAAGACGTACACACACTCTGCTCACACTCAGACCCGGGCAGGGAGCCATGGAGTGCAGGCGTTTGTGTCTCCAGCGGGGCCAGACGCAACCACTCCCCATTGAGAGTCACTCACCCTTGGACAATAGGATGCTCAGAATCACAGCCCACAGGACTGTGGCGACAAGCACAGCCAGAGCCAGGAAAAGGGGTCTCCGGCTCCAGTGCTCCCAGCGTCTCCAGTGCTCTGGGAGAAGGAGGACGGAATGCTCGGTCCCCCAGGACTGAGCCCTGGAGGCCCGGGTTTCTCCCAGGAAACTGAGATTCAAAGACTTCAGTAACTTGCCTATGATCACACAGCTTCTAAGCGGCCGAGTTGGAATTGGACCCTGCCACAACTGGCTCTGTGTCCTGTGGTGTCTCTTCTGCACCCACGACCCTGGCCCGTCTTGGCTCTTCCCTCCTCTCCCGCATTAAACCCTAGACACTGGGGCAGGAATAAGGCCGTCCCGTTGCTCATACCTCCAGGGACCTCCTCGGAGCTGCCGCCCCACTTGCTGTATCTGGTCGTGTCCATAGCGGTGCAAACACCCAGCCCCGGGCAGAGATATAAATTTCACCGTCGTCCTCACTGGACTTACCCACTCCCTTCCTTCCTTCCCATTTTCTTGACCTCAGTTCCCGGCAACGGGAACCCATGGACCAATCACAGGATTGGGTCCCTTCTGGGCTGGGCTGGGCTGGGGGCCAGACGGGACGGTTCCAGGCGGTTCCAGGTCCTGGTGGCTGCAGCTCCATCCCCAGGCTGGTCCTGGAGGCTTCTCTTTGGAGCTTAGACCCCTCTCTTATGGGCCTGGGGCTGAGTTTCTGCCTGAAAGGAACACACTGAACCCTACCCAATTGTAACCCCTGCTGGCTCCCGAGAAATCCCCCTCAGGTGTAGCCCCCCAGGTCAGTTCAGCTTCCTCCTCGACTCCCCTGCAGGTGCCTGCAGAGTCTGGGTCTGAACCTGACCTTGATCCAGTCCCTCTGGACCAGAAGAAAACAAACAGGTTGTTAGGCAGGTGGTCGGCTGACTGCAGGCTTCTACCATTGGGTGGGTGTAGCAGGTCGCTTCTAGAAGCCTTACTTTTCACCTTTGGGTAAAGGAGATAGTGATGGGCCTTGCTCATGAAGATGCTGTGATAAAGAAATGAGACAATCTCGGTGGCTCACGCCTGTAACCCCTGTACTTTGGGAGGCTGGTGTGGAAGGATCCCTGAGCTCAGAGTTCTAGACCAGCCTGGGCAACATAGCAAGACCCTCATCTCTACAAAAAATAGGAAAAAGAGAAATAAAAGGGAAAAAATAGAAAAGAGAAAGAAAATGAGGTTCTAGATGTCTACCTAGCACCATCTCAGGAACATCAAAAATGCTCACTGGGCTGGGTGCGGTGACTCACGCCTATAATCCCAGCACTTTGTGAGATGGAGGTGGGCGGATCACGAAGTCAGGAGATCAAGACCATCCTGGCCACCATGGTGAAACACTGTCTGTACCAAAAATACAAAAATTAGCTGGGTGTGGTGGCTCTCACCGGTAGTCCTGGCTACTCAGGAGGCTGAGGCAGAAGAATTGCTTGAACACAGGAGGCAGATATTGCAGTGAGCTGAGATCGCCCCACTTGACTCCAGCCTGGGACAGAGAGAGACTCTGTCTCAAAACAAAAAAAGAGAAAAACAACAACACTCAATGTTCATGCATTCTTTCAACAAACATTGAACCCGTGCTATATCTCAGACATTGATCTTGGAACTGGGACCACATCAGAGAACAAAATAAGGAAATTGCTCCCATCATGGAGCTAATATTCTAGGAGTGTGTGGAGACAGACTCCATAGTCAGTGTCATAAACCTCATTGAAAACAGGTTGTATAGCTCAGTAGTTCTCAGCTGGGGGCAATTATGCACACCAGGGGACATTTGACAATGACTGGAGACACTTTTGGTTGTCACAGCATGGGGGTGTGTGTGTGTGTGTGTGTGTGTGTGTGTGTGTGTGTTTGTGTGTGTGTGTGTTCCAGGCATCTGGTCGGTAGAGATCAGGGATTCTGCTCAAAACCCTACAATGCACAGGACATCCCCCATAGCAAAGAATGATCTGGCTCCAAATGTCCATAGTGCAAAAGGTGGGAACCCTAGTATACTACATCCAAAAGGCATAGATGCTATGACAAAAAGGAAGGGCAGAAAAAGTTCAGTAGGATAAGTGCTTGGCAGGACTGGATGGGCAGGAGGCAGTGGGCAGGTGACCAGGGTGGCCAGGGCCAGCCTTACCGAGGAGGTGAAATGTTGAGCACTTAACAGAATGTTCCAGCTCCTCTTGCAGATACATAAGCACACCCCATCTCCTTGAACCTCTTGAAAACCCTTATCCATTTTTTCATTTAAAAATTTTATTTGAGGCCAAGCGCAGTTGCTCACATCTGCAATTTCCACGGACCTTTGGGAGCCAAGACAGGAGGATCTCCAGACTAGCCTGGGCAACATAGCAAGACCTCATCTTTACAAAATATATATATTTTAAATTAGCTGGGCATGGTGGTGTGTGCCGGTAGTCCCAGCTACTCAGGAGGCTGAGGCTGGAGGATCGCTTGAGCCCAGTAGTTTGAGGCTGCAGTGAGCTGTGATTGCACCCACTGCACTCCAGCCTAGGCAACAGAGTGAGACCCTGTCTCAAAAATAAATTGGAGAAGGTTTCCTGGAAGAGACAGCATGGGATGTGTGGCTTCACGGACATGTGTGCTGGGGACACAGAAAGGAAGGGTGCACCAGGAACAGGGCACAGCCAAGACAAAGGCAAGGGGGCTGTGCTGCTTACGCCTGTGGCTGAAGCTGCCTTCGCAAGCCAAGGCAGAGCTGTCCAGCTCACTGAGGAAGCCAGAAGGCTGCCCGTCAATGTCCCATGCCCAGACCTCAATGCAGGGTAGGTGAGAGGGGGAAAGAGGTCCTAGAAGGAGGCAGCAGACCTCTACCCTCTATCCCTGGCCCAGGACAGGGAAGAGAGAACTGTTTCTCAGGTGGGTGGAGAACATGTAATCAGGGAATTTGAAGACAATATGATGAGTCTGGGAAGTACAGGAGACTGTGAGGACCACTGGAGACACTGGCTGAGCCTGGAGGGCTTCCTGGAGAAGGTGATGCCTGGGGAAGGAGTCAGAATTATTCCGGAGGAGATGGATACATTAAATAATGGTCCCAACATGGTATCAGCACATGCAAAGATTGGGAAAGTAAGGGAACAGGACTTGTTGGAGAAGATGAGACAAATTCAGGGGCAATCATCTGGGGCAAGGGTGTCAGCTGGGGTACATCATACAAGGACCTGAACAGCAGGGACAAGATGTTTGGACGAATGTGGGAAGAAGGTGAAAGTCACAGGAGTCAGCTCCAAGGCCATGACCACTCTGGTTTCCATCCTCTGCAGAGATAAGAGGGTGGCTGTAAGCAGGGCAGCCTGCCCACTGCGATGGGCACGTGGCACATTGGTTGTTGCTGTGAATTTCGGCTTTGCTTTTTTTTTTATTATTATAAAGTATGCAAAGAGGTAAGCAGGCAAAAGTGAAAACGCTTATTCCTTCCACTCAGCTTTTTCAAGCTTTGACATCTTCACATATTTCAGATCTCTTAAAAGTCAAACATCATAACAAATCAGAGCAAATACAGTGGAGCCCATCCTGCTCCTATTCCCCTCCCCAAGTCAGCTGCCCTCCCAGATGTGGTGTTTGTTCTATTTAAAAATGCTTTAATTACACACCTTCCCATGGCCAATATATTGGGCTGTTTTGCACATCTGGGAGCTTTATTAAAATGTCATCACATGGTCTATATCCTTCCGTAACTTGTTTTTGTCCTCTTCACATTACAATGATGAGATATGTCAATTCAACACTCATTCTTCATTTAAAACGAAGATAAGCACAAAAAATAAATGCTTAGTAAACAGAGAACAGGATAAAGCTTCCTTAATTTGAGAAGTGGCAATTTCCAGGATCCTACAGAAATGTTTTCCTTAATAGTGAAACATGAGAACCATTTTTTGTAAGATCCAGAACAAATTTAAAACGTCCATGGTGTAGTGGGTTGAACAGTGTCCCCCAAAAGAAATGCTGGGGCCAACTGTGGCGGCTCACACCTGTAATCCCAGCACTAGGCAGGAGAAGCGCTTAAGGCTAAGAGTTGGAGACCAGCCTGGACAACACAGCAAGACCCCATCTGTAAAAAAAAAAAAACAATTTAGCTGGGCATGCTGGTACATGCTTGTAGTCCCAGCTACTCAGGAGGCTGAGGCAGGGCAATCTCAGGTCACTACACCCCAGCCTGGGCAACAGAGGGAGATTCTCTCTTTTTTTTTTTTTCAGACAGGGTCTCACTCTGTTTGCCCAGTGGCAAAATCACATTTCACTGCAGCCTTGAGGCAAGAGAATTGCTTGAACCTGGGAGGCAGAGGTTGCAATGAGCTGGGGTCACACCATTGCACTCCAGCCTGGGCGATACAGTGAGGCGCTCAAAAAAAAAAAAAAAAAAAAAAAAAAAGACACAAGATAAGTTGCCCCAAAGAACACTCAGTATTTTAAAGAAGTTGATTCTCCCAAAATTAATTTATAAATGTACTACTGTAGTGAATTCCTAGAATTCGTGTTGCATCCACACCCATTTTGAATCTGTCTCCCATGTCTCATACCGGAAGCAGGGTTTAGTCACTCTGGACACCATTTCTAGCTCACCTCCTCCCAGTTCCTCAGTGTGATGGATCCAGATACCTGCTTTATTCAACTTTCCCATAGTGACCACTTGCCTGTGAGACAGCTGGACATGCCCGACTTCATTAGCCCTGCAGATGACCTCCCTCTACCTGGCATCCTGCACAGACTGTGCAGAAACATTGCAGTGACCACCTCTCAGCCACAGCGGGACCTCCTAGAACCCATGCCTGCTTGCATTAAACCCACCAAATAAATTCCCCACCAGAAATCTGTTTGGATAAAGACCCCAGTGAATGAGTCGGCCCATGGATCTCTCTCTTGTCCCTCTACCACCCACCCCCCAAGCACTCTCTGACCTCCATGCTGTGTGTGGCCACTGAA